TTCGCACATTTGCATATACACCCACGCACACTCACAATTGTGCTAGTACATAATCACACGGACATACAAACACTTACACTCCCGCTGACACGGTCACTCAATGCAACAGTTTCTGGTCTAACGGATTATTTGCACCCCCCCCCCCACCCCCCGCTCCTCCAGTTGCGGTTCTGGTCACGTGCACAACCGGGTGACCTTGCCGCCCCCCCTCTCCCTCCCCCTCTCCCTCTCCCTCTCCCTCCTTGTCTTTACACCTTTTACTCTCCAGCCTCGGCCTCCGGAACCACCCCCCCCCCTTCGCCTGCCTCTCGCTCACCCGCCCCGCCAGTCGCCAACCTCCCAGGTTAACGGGATCTTATTTTCTCCCACTTAGTTGCTTTAGGTTTACCTCTTTATTAATTGGTCTGTTTGCCTGCCTGTCACGTTTCTCTGTCACTCCATCTCTCTGCCTGCCTGTCTGCCTATCTGCTTCCCTCTCTCTCTTTTTCTCCCTCTCTCTCTCTCTCTCTCTCTCTCTCTCTCTCTCTCTCTCTCTCTCTCTCTCTCTCTCTCTCTTTCTCTCTTTATATATATATATACATATATATATAATATATATATATATATATATAAAGAGAGAGAGAGAGAGAGAGAGAGAGAGAGAGAGAAGAGAGAGAGAGAAGAGAGAAAGAGAGAGAGAGAGAGAGAGAGAGAGAGAGAGAGAGAGAGAGAGAGAGAGAGAGAGAGAGAGAGAGTGAGAGAGAGAGAGAGAGAGAGAGAGAGAGAGAAGAGAGAGAAGGAGAAAAAGAGAGAGAGGGAAGCAGATAGGCAGACAGGCAGACAGGCAGGCAGAGAGATGGATTGACAGAGAAACGTGACAAACCAATTAATAAAGAGGTAAACCTCTTTATATATATATATATATATATATATATATATATATATATATATATATATATATATATATATATATATATGTATATATATATATATGTCTTTCACAAATTATCTTGAATATTTGTGCATGTGCACATATTATATTGTGCTTATCATCTTTTAGTCTAGACTCTCATTTAGCTCTGCCTGTGCCCTTCCCATCCTTCTTAATTCTTGTGTCTTTTCTTTTGCTCATCTCACTTCCTTTTGTTTCCTTTGTGTTGGTTGCTCTTTTGCGTGACTCCCGCGCCATTTTATACTGCTTAATGCTGGTTCTTTTGTTGTCTGGGCTCTGCCTTTTTGCAATGAAAGAGCAATTTCCTTGGATATTACCTTCATTTCCCCTACTTAAAGTTACTGCGGCTATTTGTACAGTGGATATTGAAGAATGTTTATAATCATGATAATAATGAGTATCATATGTAATGTAAGAGAGATGAAACTAGAGGCGTCTTTGGTAACGTTAAAGATAGAGCTCACAGCCTGTCCGGGAGGTGATGACGTCACTACTCATCCTAGACGCTGATTGAATAGGGGCACCGCTATCAGCTGTAATAAGTTATCTGGAAAAACTCTCATGAACCCTCACTTCACAAAGACCAAAAGGAGGACCAATGTAAACAAGCCATCGAAAGAGCGAGCAACACTTAACTAGTCTTAGACTTATTCTTAATGAGATCTATATGTGCACACACACACACACAGACACACACACACACACACACACACACATATATGTGTGTGTGTGTGTGTGTATGTGTAAGATATATATTTAATATATATATATATATACATATATAAATTATATATATATTATATATGTGTGTGTGTGCAATCAGCCATTAGTGTAAAAAGAGTACACTAGTTTCTTCTTTATATATGTAGTAACCAGTATCTTCCCTCTCTCTGCATATCAATAGGAGTATTGTAGGGTTGACTTGGTTAAAACACCATTCATATTTTTGCATCCTCTACCTTAGACCTTAATATTCCGAAATATCTCTCCTGTGTTATTGCAAGTAACTCCTATGCTCTTCATTAATGCAATTCCACAAAGTAGAACGAGAGATCACAAGAGTCAAACTACAATGTCATATAATGATCTATGTATGGCAGTGAAATGCTTGTGCAAAAATAGCTATGCAGATTTTTCTCATGTGGATTATTAATTGTCCTGCGTTAGTGCATTAACATACAATTGCGTAATTTCAAAATCTATTTCCTCTAATTCTCAATAATTGGCTTGATAACTTTCACTGTTAAACAGGAATCACTAAATAATATACACCTCCTTAAAGGATTTTACTTTTCTTATTAATTGCATCAGTGGCACTCATTCTGACGTATATGCATATGTTTTTCATATCTATATCGATTGTAATTCATATGATAGTCGCATTTCCTGCATTTCTATCTTGCTGTTTGTCTTGTGAATTTTAACTTTCCAGAAGTTGGAAAGAGCGAGGACCTTTTGCTCCATTTCCAATCATTTGAAAAAATATATGTTTTTTTTTCAAAATGCAGTCTGTTCATAATGGAAATCTAATAATTGATTTTTTTTCCCAAGAAATATGTAATACTAATTCATTGCCACGATTCATGTTAAAGTGCAAAGTCACAGCAAGGTATGTGCGAAAATGAAGTCAAGCAAAAGTCAGTACTACCATGGAAAGTTCAAATGTGGTCACCGTTATCTACCATGTTCGTGTTTTTTATCTGCAACATCTTTATAAAAAAAATCATTGTATAATAGAACATGAAATCTTTCTACTTATAACCTTAACTGACAACAGACAGACCAATGGGAATTAATGCTAAATATACTCCCTACTGACATTTTCCTGCTGTGCTCTGCACAGGCGCTTTTCAGACGATGGGCGGAGCCATAACGGTGATGTCACTCTTAGACGGATCTGGCAATGAGCTCAGCTGTCGGAGTGGCTGCTTGCTTGCATTTCTTGATTAAATGATCGTTTGCCTAGGTAAACTTTAAAGCCTTAGTGGGCTGTCTTTGCTAATTGTAATATCATTACTTATTTCTATGGTGCAATTATACCTAACTTGATATAATAATTACCGTTTAGACAATCAAGTAATAAGCTTCCCAGTAATAACACTACAGTTTTTGTTTTGGCTTCAGCTTTCCCACTCTAGCTGGGGCGAAAGACATCGGTTCTCGCTCGGTGCCGCTCTGGGCAGGGGTTTTCATCTCGGTTCCCTTCACAGCTGGGGAAGTATCCCGCCTTGTAAAGGGATCCCTGAATAAAATGGCCAAGTGTGACCGCACCTTAACACTCTGGTCGAACTGTTAGCCTTGTTCATTAACATTAAAGGCTGGGTTTGCGTTGCCGAAAATGCCAATGGAATTGATCAATTTTAGATTCCTTAAACTGGGCCCCTCAAAGCGATTGGAAGAGCAGAGAAGTGAAAGAGAAGAATTGTATACGGAGAATCTCCTGATTAAGAAAAAGGGGCGAAGGTAAAGACGGGAGATGGGGTTGAAAGAGAAATGCAATCCTGTCGTTCATCTTCTAACCCCCCCCCCCCACACACACACACCTTCCAGCAGATTTTAATAAATAAAACTTCTATAGCCTTGAGAAGAATGATTTCTCAATCACACCCAGAATGCTGTACATACCAATCACTAAGGAAGGGTAAAGGTAAAAATTTGTATCAAGCAAGTTAGACATATGTATTTAAGATGATGATGATGATGATAGTAATAAGATAATGATACTGATAATGATAATAATACTAATAACAACAATAATAATAGTAATTAATAGTAAGTATAATGACAATAATGATGATAATATTAATAATGATAATAAAAACAGTGATAATGATGACTGATTGCCTTTCGCCGAACTAGTTGGTAGTCACTCGTACTTTAGTTATAGTTTCCTTTGGCCTACTTTGCAGCGTCGCTTGATATAAAGACAAGTGATTTTATTCCTCAGGGACGTGGGTGTGGATTGCCTACGAATACTTGCCCGATGTTTCAGAATTTCTTCCGTGGCAGATGAAATTCTAGCCCACGGAAAAGGTCAAGAGCGCTCGCTCTCCTTCCCAAAGCCTTTAGTGAGTCTCCTGTAGTTTCTGGACCTCGAGATTCCGCGCGAACGAGGCTCGAGATTTGAGTCACGTGGACTGATTTGAGATTTGAGATTTGAGTCACGTGGACCGGTTGTGAGATTTGAGTCACGTGGACTGATTTGAGATTTGAGTCATGTGGACTGATTTGAGATTTGAGTCACGTGGACTGATTTGAGATTTGAGTCACGTAGTGTGACACGCAAATGCACAAGTGACAGTTATTAACAAAACCCACACCAGTCTAAGGCAAGGCAACAAAATCGCCTCTTTGGTTGAGTAATTCAGGTTTAGAAGAAACCTGGAGCGAAAAAAACGTCCTTTATATGTTTTTTTTTGTTCTTCGTTTTTTTTCCAAACCTCCGCTGAGCTGCTCCTTGAACGGGCGTGGCGGTGTGACGGCCGCCCACGTGCAAGAAGGAAAACAAGTATATTGCAGAAGAAAAAAGCGAAAGAGAAAGTGAAACGTCAAAGATAATCATGAGAACTTTGTGGTCGACGGTCGGAACGGTTGTGTGGAGAGGAAGGTTATGTTGATTAATGGTGATCATTGTAATATTATTTTCATTATTATGATGTTTATCATTGTGATTATCACTAATAGTGTTATTGCCATTACCACTAACATTATTATTATTGTTGTTGTTTTTTGTTTTCGTTAACATTATCGTTATTATCATTATCATTACGATTATCATTATTATCATTATAATTATGATTATCATTGTTATCATTGCTCTTATCATTGTTATCATTGCTCTTATCATTGTTATCATTAATACCGTCGTTTTATTGGCAATCTCAGTTTGGTATCTTCTTACCACGTTTTCTACTATTTCTGCAGCTATTATTACTGTCCATATTTCCATAATACTATGACTAGTATAATCATAGTGTTACTCTTATTTTAATGCCTTGTTCTCGTTGTTATCAAAGTCACTTCGTCGTCGCCGTGCTGCTTTTGAGTAACGCGCCTGTTCTCACCCAAGGCTGAACGTTGGCACTTCGGGCGCGACACCGCAATGGAGATGTGGATTGCATGTGCTTCGCTGCAGCTGCTGGCGGTGCTGGCAGTGCTGACCCAGGGGGGCGCAGCGGCCTCCACCGCAGCCGAGACGACCTTGCTCCGCTGGAAGCGCCAGGCCATCCACTGCCAGCCGGGAGACGCGGCCTGCGCGCTCTGCTCGTCCTCCTGTGACACCGTGGAGGCGTCCCGGCTGCCCGAGTGCTGCGAGGCCTACGGCGCCTGCTGCGACCAGTACTTCAAGGCGTGCAAGGTGAGGCCTGCGTTGCCGCGCCGCGCCTGGCACGGGTCGGGGAGGGGCATGTAGGCATTGCCGATCTCTGCGTAGGTATTGCACCATGGCACAGGGCACTTAAACCATTGAAATTAGGGATGATAAAGCGGCCAGCAGTGGCTTGCTTCATGGAGAGAAATTATGATGTTGATTATTGTAATACTTTCATCGCATTCATGATGATTCGCTTCTTTCCAGCAATGCTCCAACATTGTAAACGAAGACAAGTTTTTCCCCGAGTACTGCTGCGCTTCCTTCACCGACTGCTGCGACCTCATAACCACTTTCACCACGGAGGTCAAGGTCAGTGCCGGAGGCCCGAGAGCGCCGTGCTCCGAAGGCTCCGGAGAGATAAGTGTGGGAACGACAGCGGGAGAGCTCGCTGTCTGCCCCTGCGCTGGCACGCTCTGTTCTTTGAAGTCATGATTTTTCTGTTTAGCAGCATTTCTGAGAATATTTTCGGCGACTGTCCCGCTCGCTCTCGAGCCTCGTCTGACCACGCTCTGATCTCCACTCGCAGGCCCCGACTTCGCGCAAAGCCAAGGGCAAGGCCAAGGTGGACCTGCCCGTGCCCATCACTCCGGCTCCCAGGCCCGAGGTCTTCCCAGGGGTCAGCGAGTACCCGGGCGAGGAAGCCCGGCCCGAGGCTCCCCTTGTTCCTGCAGCGCCTGTTGACCCAGTCGCCGCTGTTGCCCCAGAGGCTCCTGATGCCCCAGGGGCTCCTGTTGCCCCAAAGGCTCCTGTAGCCCCCAGCGCACCATTCCCCGCCGACTCAGCGAGAGAGCAGCCTAAGCGCGGCCGAGGTGCTGGCAGCAATGGAGGTGCCGCAGGCGGCCGCGGCGCCGCCCGGGGGAGGCAGCCCCAGCGCAGCCAGGCGCAGGTAGGACTTATTTATATATATGAAAAAAATAGTGAGAATAATCATTAATGTCATACTAATAATAAAGATGATAATCTCATCAGCGATAGAAAAATAATAAAAAATATCAGTAATACTAATAATGATAAGGAATAGTGTTATATTGATGATGGTGCTAATAATAATGACGACAATAGGAAAATCATAACAGTGATGATGATTATAATAATAGTTATTGTTATAATTATTGTTATATTACCATCATTATTATGATTATGAAGTTAATAATGGTAATGATCATAACAGAACGATGATAATAAGGAAACATAGGGCAATAAGAATACTGATAATGATAATGTTGATAAGCCGTAAGGGCAATGGCCGAGTAGGAGAATCAAATCGTACCATGCGATTCTAGCTGCTCTAGCAGGCGGGATTTGTAATTCATAAGAAGCTGGTGTGACGTCACTCCCCGCAGTGGCCTCCAGACCTCCATTCCGCCCCGACCGTCGCGGCGGCGCTCTCGCTCTCGGCGTGGAACTCACTGCTCAAGTGCACGTTTTCTATTTGTCGTTTTCTGTGGGTGATCTAGACAGTTTTTTCTCAGTTTTGAACTTATTTTCAAAGAATAACATTAGTATTCGTCTCTTCCTTTAAATTTGTTTCCATGTGTTTATCACTTTTTGTCTATTTCTCTCACACACACACACACACACACACACACACACACACACACACACACACACACACACACACACACACACACACACACACACACACACACATACACACATACACACACAGTGTACAGTATACAGTACAGTATACCGACGCGGTAGATTGAATAGAGGGAACATAGTTTATGGTAGAGCACTGTTTTGCAATTGCAAGGTTCCCGGTTCGTGCTCGCCCAGCCCCTCTCAGTCGACTCAGCTGAGAGTGAGTACTGGCTTGAGTATGCTGGGGTCAGAGTTAGGACAGAAAGGAACTGGCCACCCTGTCGTATCATCACGCGCCTAGAATGCGCGTTCTTCTTCGAACAAACCACGGCTGTTCAGCAAGATGAACTGCCTTTTATATGCATATCTATCTACCTATTTATCTATATAAGTGTGTGCGTGCGCGCGTGCCTGTACACACAGCATCATACCGAAGCGTCTGACGGAGCTTCCTTCCGCAGGGACCGCCGGCCAACAACAGGAGAGGGCGCGTCACGTCCAGGGGCCGCGTGCTGTAACCTCTTCCCTCTCGCTCCTCCTTTCGCCCTGTCTTGTCTCTTCAGTCTATTCTTAAGCCTTTTCTTTATTTCACATCTTACCTCTTTCTTCTAAC